TGAAGGAGCTCAACCAGTCAGACTGGGGAAAGAACACAGTCCTAGAGGACAGCTGAGAGGGAAACCATCATTGACAGCTATGGCATCAATGGCAGGTAATGGAACAATCACTGGCACTCACTCTGAGCAAGACAAACATGAAACAATCAGGGTGCTCCTTTCTGCTGACAAAAGAACAACAGCATGGATTTGAACAAAATCTTGAGTGGGATGTTGTGATTGGATGAGAGGCTTTGGTCTGTGAGCTGACCTGGACTTCTCATGCCTTTGTAAAGGCTCAAATGTCCAAGAGTCTGTTGGTTTAGGGACAGCTTCACAATGAAATTCTCGGCAGAGGAAAGGGCAGTACAGCCTTAGCTGACCTCTTTCTTGGGACAAGCATTGTCAAAAAGGACATGTGGATAAACACATCCTTTTGTGTTTGTGCTGCATTACACAGTTGTGCTGGACAGGGCAATCCATTATCTTTTATCCCAGGAAGTGTTTCCACTGCAGGTGAGTTTTGCTTAATCTCACTAGGCTCCATAGCAGATCTAAAGTCACCAAGTTGACTAGGCAGTACCTCTTATATTTTTACAATTCTGTGCTGACGGCTGATCATGATCAAGATTTTTACTTGCTTGTGGAATGATTTTGTTTTGCTTCCAGAACGTGCTTTATATTAATCACTAATAAAAATACAGAATAGAAATGCTAAAAAAATCAATAACCTGGGTTGTGTATTAAAATGCGTCTCAAGGAGTGGACTGCTCCTTTTCAACTGTAAAACAACAAATTCCTTTCATTAATGAATATATTCAACTCAGAAGTATTGAACACCACGACAGCAACATTAATGCTGTGAGTTGGCTGCTACAGAACTGTACTGACTCACTGGACATCTTTATAGCCTACTAAGTTAAAGGCTGTCTATGATGATACAAATGTGATTCAGGTACATGGTGCACAAATCCAAGGTGGATCACCTGTGGTGAGCTGAAGCATGCCACTAGACAATTTGATTGTCAAGGAAAAAGATTCAAGGCATATGCGACAGTTAGAAGTGACAGGGTAGAAGATATTCGCTAATCCTTTGACTTCTGAGCTGTCAAGTATATTACAACAGATCATGGCTGTGAGCGTTAAAGCCTCTTTGAGAAGAAACAAGGCAGTCTCAAGTGGAAAAGGCAGAAGGGGCAGCAGTTGCAGGAACAGCTTGCAGTCTAGGAAGCACTCCCAGTTGTGTGATTCAGGATTCACCATACACAGACAAATGCGCCCATATGACCTGTCTTCCACCAGCACCGTAGCACCATTTTCAGGTAAGTGGGACTCACATCAGTGGTGACCAATTTACATACTGCTCCTGCGAAAGAAAAGGTCATTCTCTTTACAATAGATTTGCAGTGATGAGCCCCCTAAGTGAGTCAAGGTCCAAAAATCTTTCCTCAAAAGCACTTTTGCTGCATAGCAAGGGTTGTAGCAGACTGGTCTGAACTACACACTGTGCCATGTAAAGTATTAGTTGTATGTAAGTGCACCAGTCTGGACTGAGCTCTTCATGGTTTCTATTGCATTAGCAGCTTCATCTAAACAGAATTAGTGAGGACTGTACTAGGGAGAAAGGTATGGATGATTTAGAGGCTTTCTTCTTGCACAGACAACTAAAAGGGTTAAAAAGTCCACCTCTACTCTCCAGAGGCATAATTTGTTCTAGACAATTTCAGAGGCATTTTGTGTATTGACTTTGGATTTCTGTTTTAAAATCACATGGCATTTAGAGAGGTCAAAGCTGTTTCTTTTATTGTCTGTCCATTCTTTTATTTCAAAGGAATTATGTGACTGCTTTCTGCTTTCTATTGTATATTATGACTGTCTTGCAGACCATGAATGTTTCTTCAGCTGGTTTGTTCAGCTGATGTGCCATGAAGTTGCTTGTGGAAAACCTGGAAGAATGGTCTCTGTATGTACAAAAGGCACATTTTGAACCTAGCATCTGGTGCTGTGACCTGTGGAAAAGAACAACTCACCATAAACTACTCTTCAAAATTCTAGCACCGAGTTCAAATCCTTTTCTGGTAGCATCTGACTGGGATCTAAATATCCTGATGCCTGAATTTAAAAAGCAACAGAAGTCTTATCTTCTCAACCCTTCTTTCCCCAACACATTTTTCTTTAGCTCTGTAATTCTTTTCTATGCAGATGCTCTGAATATTGCTTTTGAAATTAAGTTGCATTGTCACAATATGCTCACTGAGTGTTTTTGTTGCACAGACTGTGACTATGTCAGAGTTCCTTGAACTAGATTGCTCTAGCTGTGCTTTGTGAAACGCTATGTCTATGGTCTTTTACAATGCAGCAAGTGACACCAGACAGTTGCATACAACTTTTTGCAGAAAAAATGACTTCAATACTATTAAATTTAACAACTAAGATTTGAAGAATGTGCTCTTTGTACTCTTTCTCGTGTTCCCTGGTACCAGAATTTTCTCCATTCCTCAGCAAGAGGTACGGATTCTGGTAGGAAGAAAAACTAGTTGTATTGATGGCCCAGCCAACAATAGAAAAAAATTGCAATAAATACAGTGTGGTCCTGCATATGCTGATCTTACCAAAAATTGTGAGTTCACCAAATGGTGATGCTGAGTGTGATCTGGCCCATCAGTACTCACAGCAGAGGAATAATAAGGAAAATAACAAAAAATTCCTTACAGACATTCTGCAAGACTGAATTCCTCAACTTTTATTTTTATTCTATTTTAACAAGTTATGCTACACTATTTACTGCCATAACCAGATCTTACTTACTATTCAAGTTCCATTGAACAGCTTTTATCATTATTTTTGCTTCAGACATTTTGATATGCTCCTTCCTTTTCTGGAAGGTTTCACAGGCTATGAATAATGAATCTTCCTTTTCGGAGATTTTAGGGTAAAATCTTTTCATTCAGACTTTTTTTGTTTGTTTCAAAGAATGGACTGATTCCAACTAAAAGTGCATGTTTGACATTGAGCTCCATCCATCACTTTATTGGGTAAACACAGCATGGGGCGTGTCACAAAATAACACAAGATATATTACAAGGAGTTCGTCAGATCTGCCCCACGTACAGCTGAGAAGCTGTGCTGTTACCTTCGCAGGTGAACCTGATAAGGTAAGCATTTCTTTCAATCATGATTTAAGTTCTAATCTGCAATTTAAAAAACATTATAAGTATTTTACAGGATTTAGAATCAGATTGATATAACCTCATGTCTGTGGCCTTCAATATCAGTTGAAGAAACAAATTATTAAAGGATGCCTTCTGCAGAAATCTTACCTACCTTCACATGTGTGTTCTGTATTATTTTACTGTTTTACACTCTGCCATACATAAAGCCAAAGTATTTGTCTGTATGTACTATAATTTTGTTTACTAACTCTTCCACACTGAAAAGCAGTGTACATGTGTAACACATGTTACAACAGATGTTCTTCCTTCTTCCTTTATTACTTTAATTTTTCATTTAGAATCAAAAGAAAAAAATGAATTTGTTTAAATTCCAGGGGTTATGGAAGATATTCTCTGAATTAAATTAAGGAATGCAGCATGTTCAGATGACCCCAGCACATTGCAGCTCTGTGTTATCTTTAATAGTTACATTTTCAAAGATTAACAACAAAAACATTTGCTTCATGAATCTCTTTCTTCACCAAGAATATAAATGGAGCTTAAAATCTAAAATATAATAGTAAGCAGAATAAGCGAATTATAAAAAAATCTACCTTATATTACCTATATAAGCAGTTCCATTTGGAGAGAGAATGATCATCCATTCTAGCAGGGGAGCAGTTGAATGTATTGTTTTTCAAATTATTCCACATTATGAGATGACTGTCACATGAATGTGTTGATTCCATAGGGATTGTGATACATGTGGCAGAGTACCCTGGATTTTGTTCTCTAGCAGCCACAGAGGGAAACAAATTGCTTGAAGATCCTCATTATACATTATAAGTGGTATAAACACTATACTGTTGCATTAGACTTCACAGTATTGTATTTTCTACAGTGTGTTGTCTTCTTTACTAAGAAATCCCTCCTTTTGGGGCTAGATGAAATGCTAGATGCTGTAAATACAGGGAAAATTTTACAAGAATATTAGAGAAAGGGCAGAAAAAACATTTAAATATTGGATATGTGAAGATCTTTGCAAATTAAACATGAGACTAAACAAGCACTGTTTTATTAAAAGACAGATTTTATTTAAAAAGTACCAATAAAAATTAAAGAACACTTTTTAAAAACAGAGTGACATATTATTGAGTCAATGATGAATGGAATGTATCAGTCATAGATGTTTATCATAAACTGGATTAATTTATTAAATCATTTGTAGTCTTCATTACTGTGCCTTCATCATTTTACTTAAAAAAAAAGAAGGTAATGGTGTTAACATTTGAGACCTCTGATAAAGTAGGTGGTGTAAGAACCTGGCTTCCATTTACACTGGGCTGAAATTACAGCGAATCTAGTAAAACTTATGCTGTTGCTTCAGCATATTGTATTCTGGAAGTAACTGTAGTTTGGATAACAGGGGGCTTGCTCCCCTTTTAAGATCACTAATCTTAAAAGTGATGTTAAAAGCTATAGTGAAGAATCTGGTTTGGAGTCTCAAAAAAATTAAGATTTTGGGAACAAACCTACATGTGTTTTTTTTTCCTTAAGGGGTGAGAAATGACTGTCAAGAAGCTTCCTTCAAGATAGCTAATATTCTTTGCAAGATTTTTAACAAGATGGTATACATATACAGAGAAAGACAAGTTTCAAATACAGGAATCACCAGCCTATGCATAGCTGGCAGATGTCCAACATTTGATTGCTCCTGAATCCAAAAGCATGTCTTTCTTTTAAATCCACACCACTGGATTCTGTTTGCGGAAAAACACCCTGTGCACCAAGTTCAGGGGTTCACGTATACAGACTTTATTGCATTACAATTAACATATTCCATCATAATAAGTCAGACTCTTTCTGTTTGCTTCAAACAATCCAGGTTTCACAATGGGCTCCATCAGTGCAGCAAATGCGGAATTTTGTTTTGATGTATACAAAGAGCTGACGGTTCACCATGCCAATGACAACATCATCTTTTCCTCCCTGAGTCTGATTTCAACCCTGTCCATGCTGTATCTGGGAGCAAGAGGTAACACTCAATCTCAGATGGAGAAGGTAAGTTATTCACATGGGTGTAAAGCAACCTCTGCTTGTGCTAGTTGTTCCTTCTAAGTAACATCACTGAAAAATATTATCCAATTACAAGGTTCTCATCTATTTTAATGCATTTTTACGTAAAGAAGTAAGCCAAAGTCACAAAATGGAGAAATGAATCAAGAGTTATATAGAGAAAGTAATAAAAAAAAGTATATTTTCACTATAACAAGCAGTTGGCTTTAACGTAGGAAAAAAAATCTCAAGGACAATAGTAAAATAGATTACCAGTCAGTAAATTTTATTTTATGATTTTTTCTAAATTCTCACAACTTCTAGATAATGTAATCAGATTTTTTTAATATATAAAAATTATATATCCCAAGAAAAGAGGAAGACAGAATATTATTAGCAGTACAAAATATGTAACTCAATTAATTTGTAGATATTATCTATAAAAATATAATCTAAACAAAGAGTGGTATTTACAGTTTCCAAGAAGGCCACAGAGGGCATAGACCAGTTGTAAGTTCACTTGTAAATTTTTAATTAATCTATATTCTTAGTTAGCACCTGTTTTTTTCCTGAGCCAACAGTTTTACCTCAAGCATCCTGTGTGAATCTGAGTCACATTATTTTTGGTCACACTTGTAATTTCTACCACTGGTATTTTCTCTTGCAGGTTCTTCACTTTGATAATGTTACAGGAGATAGAGACAGTACTGACTCCCAGGTAGAGAAATAATTTAATCTTTCTTTCTGTCTTATTTTCTACTTAGAACAAAACTAGAACTGTTCTGCCTCTCCTTCTGGAGTTTCAGACTCCGACAAAAACTCTGGTAATGGCCTCAGACCAAGGGGATCTGTGGAGAGAGGGAAGAAGGGTGTGATTCACCTGTTTTTTAACAAATAGAGAAGGACAGCAGGTTGCTCATCTTTCATCAGAACATGGGGCAGAATGCTTTGGACACCTAAGTGCCTTACTGGGCAAGTGCTGGTGGAGGACGGCATGTGAAAGGGACTCATCACCTGGAGCCAGGGTACAGCAGTTAGATTTGAAGCTGAGAGATTCCAAAGCAGGGCAGGAAGATGCAGGGCAGAGAAGAGCCCAGAAGTCTCGGTGACAGGAACACAATGCCATCTTATAAACACCACATTTCAGGGGACTTGTCTTGACGAGGATGAACTTGCCAGTTCAGTGCACCATCACCACAGCACCAGCTGTCCCAAAGGTGACAGCCCTATGTTTGTGGGGGAGGACTTCTCTGTAGCATGACTCTTAACTGATAGGGACAATACTTTAGGGTCTTATTTCCTTATGCAATCTGTCTTCTTATTTTCATGTCCTCACCTCAGTGTGGCCCTTCTGAACACATCCACGGTACATTGAAGGATCTTCTCTTAGACGTCACCAGGCAAAATGCTACATACTCTCTCAGGATTGCTGACAGAATCTATATTGACAAAACATACCCTGTTCTTCAGGTGGGTTACACTGTGAACTGACTTCCATGAGATTTCCTGTAAAAGCCCCTGTGACTCTACCCTAGAGATGCACCACCAACACTATCCCACTCTCTGTTTATAAAGAGGCAGTTGTGAGCCATGAGAGGAACTGGTACAGAAGGAGTTTGGACCTACTGTGGCTTTTAGGTGGCTGTTAGTTGGTGGTCAGGGAAAAGTATTGTGGCATAAAATAAGCCCATGTTACATGTCACGGATACTGGTCAAGATTGCTGTTTGTTTGCTAGGAAAAGGGCTTTTAATGAAAAATGTAACTTTTAAGGGGAATTAAATACATTTTATGACTTGAAATAATGAAGACTAACATTGTCAAATTTGGATTTTTTTCAAAGTCAAATATCAAATCTTCCCAGTGAAAGGAAGCTTTGTTTTTGAAATCTAAAAATGTAAGAACACAGTATTCAAAAGAAAAAGTAGACAAAAAGAGGAGACAAACATTGTTCTTGAAAATGTTTGTTAAACTGAGACTGGTTTGGTAAAATAAAGAAAATATTTCAAAATTGTAACTTAGAGCCTTATCTCATCAAAAAGTGCCAGACCTCTATATGTGAAGCAATCTTTGCTGTACAGCTTTAAGATTCAGTTACAGGAAGACAGCTGTGACTGTTCAATGACTGACATGTTCAATGACTAACGTTCAAACACAGGAGTAAACATTCAACGTCCTTTTAACCATTCTGCTTTATGTCACAATCTTGCATTATACATCTATATAACTCCAAGTTCTCACGAGTCTGACAACTGCAATCTTTCTGCTTATAGGAATACTTAAAGTGTGCAAAGAAATTCTACAAAGCAGAGTTGGAAGAAGTTAACTTCAAAACAGCTGCAGAGGAAGCAAGACAGCTCATTAACTCCTGGGTGGAGAAAGAGACAAATGGTAAGGACTGAAAAATGGGTAGCAAGTATTTTCTCCCACCTACCATAAACTATATCCTTGTCTTCCGCTCCTCATAATGTCTAGAAAAAGTGGGTCAAGCAAGAGCAGATTGCTTATTGCTATGAAAACAAAACTCCACAAAGCAGGACCCCTCACCCTCATCCCTACATTGGAGAGGCTGGTGCATACCAGAGAAGGTGTATCTTACCACTCTCTGCCCTGTCTCTTTATTAAAGGACGGATTCAAGATTTGATTGTGCCAGACGCTGTTGGTCTCGATACTGCGCTGGTCTTTGTGAATGCCATTTACTTCAAAGGGATCTGGAAAACCGCGTTTAGAGAAGAAGACACTCGGGAAGTGCCCTTCAATGTGACAGAGGTAGGAGGGCACGGACACACCTTCTGGCCAGGACAGCTCTTGGCTCACACAAGCAGCAGTCTGGGTGTTACAAATACAACCTATTGCTGTCACAGATTGGGTGATTTAGTTGAGTGCCTCACTGTCAGTGCTTGGCCTAAAGCCAAGTGGTGTTTGCAAGATCTGTGTCTGACCACACAGGGGCACACAAGTAGGCAAGAGAGGAAAATGGAGACACAGCTCTTCTTTAAAGGCAACAAACTCTCTCTCTTTCAAAGGGCTTGTACATTTGACAGACTAAAGAAAAACATTGCTCCCCAGTCACATCATCTCACATTTCTGTTTTTGCAGCAAGAGAGCAGACCTGTGCAAATGATGTTTCAGAATGGTACCTTCAAAGTGGGAAGAGTGGCTGCAGAGAAAATGAAGATCCTGGAGCTTCCATATGCCAGCGGAGAGCTGAGCCTGTTGGTGCTGTTGCCTGATGACATCTCTGGTTTGGAACAGGTATGACTCTGGCAGGGGAAGCAGAAGAGTTATCACTTCAGTGGGGCTTGGCTGCTGTCAGACTTCTTGATGTCCCAGTTGTCCCAGCTGTGCTGGGCAGGCAGGGGAGCACAAAGGTGACCCAGGTGCTAGCAGGTGCTCAGGCAGAGACCTGAGAGAGCCCTGAATTCGGTTTTATAAAATGAAGGTAAGGCAGTGTAGTGCTGCTGTAGTCCTGCAGAAGAGGATGTTGCCATATGCCCCAATCACCATCATGTATCAGAAACCGACACGAAGCCAGATTTTTATCACTTTGAGTGATTTCAAAGGTTTGCTAAAGCAGAAAGGTTTATCCTAGGGGAAATAAAAAATGGAAGTGAGGAGGAAAGCATTCCAAGAGGTGACTAAAAAAAAATGAGAAATGTAGCACTAGAGAAGAATGACACTGAGGAAAGATATCAATAAAATATGTTCCAAGAGGAACAGTTCTAGGGCCAATTTGATTTGATGTTTTCAAAAACTGTATTTTCACAAAAAAAGACTTGAACTGATGAAAAAAGTTTCAGATGACAAAGTTTTAAGGAAATTCCTCAAGACAGATGAAATTCAGTCCATAGGAGGAAGCCTACTGGATAAACAAACGCATTTAAGATTAAGTATTGGTTCTACTGTGTACATAAAGTAAATGTGAAAAAAAAGTAACACATGGTATAAACACAGCTGTTAAGGCCACTGAACTTTTGTTTCAGACATTTCATTCCCTGCCTCTCTTTGCAGCTCGAGAACAAAATCAGCTATGAAAGACTCATGAAGTGGACCAGTCCCAGTGTGATGGAGCAGAAGAGGGTGAAAGTGTACCTCCCACGCATGAAGGTTGAGAAAAAATATAACCTCACATCTGTCTTAACAGCCTTGGGTATGACCGACCTGTTCAGCCCCTCGGCCAATCTCTCTGGCATCTCTTCAGCAGAGAGCCTGAAGGTATCTGAGGCCGTCCATGAGGCGTACATGGAAGTCACTGAGGAGGGCACTGAGGTGACTGGCTCAGCTGTTGTGAAAGGAGATATTCAAGAATCCTCTGAGTTTGAAGAGTTTAGGGCTGACCACCCATTCCTTTTCTTGATCAGACACAATCCAAGCGACCTGATCCTCTTCTTTGGTAGATATTGTTCTCCTTAAAGAGAAAAAGAGCTGGAAATAATGCTTGCCTTCCCCTCAGAAACAACCCCCCTTTACTCTAGTATTGTAGTATAATCTCATCTCTGCACTACTTTCTCTAAGTGGAAAGCTTTCAATATCTAGTAAGATATTCTGGAAGAAGTGTGTGACTTTTCAGATCTTTAGGTGCAGGTATTTCTGCTTACACAAGTTATACTCAGGATTTATGTCCAGGATTAAGCAAGAATTTTGTGAGGTAGCTTAAAAGTATTTCCTATTGTCATTGAATAACTCGAGAGACAGGGCTAGTGTTTTGATTTTTGTGAAAATATCTGACACTGATATTGAGAATCTGGTTTTCCTATAGGAGTTCTCCAAAATAAACACAGCTTTCAGAATAATCTTGTTCCTTTCTGTTGAACTTGTTGAACTGATGCCTGGACAACTTGCAGATGAAATTCTTAACTTCAGCAAAGCATTCTTCTTCCAGGAATGCATTTGTGCTAATTTGTGCTGCATGTACTGTAAAGATAGGTGTCTTGTTCTGAGAGAGTATACAGAAAGTTTACCATTTCTTCATAAATCATCAAATTCAAATACAACATCTTCCTGACTTTTTTTTCCCATCTTCATTCCTGTGACATGTCATTGATTTTGTGAATGTTAATTCATGGTCCTTCTATTTATTCTAATAAAAGCATTGCAAACTAAACATGCCTCCACCTGTTCTGGGTTACTACACCCCACAACCAAAATATATGACACAGTGCGTCGTGATTATTAACAGAAGTGGTTTACACAAGGATTTAGATCCTATTTTCAAAATTAGAATGTACCCATATATGAGGTCAATAAAGAGCTTAACATTTTTTTCTAAAATTTTGAGCTTAAGCAGGTAATTCCTACAGCTCCTACCCTTACCTTGAGCTTATCTCAATATGACATATCAAATAACACAATTTTTTGAATCTGCTATTGTATTTCCAGGGAGTTTTAAAATATTTCCTCTTATTCCCATCAGTAAATATATTGGGGTGATGCTTAAGAGATATATCTTCAAAAACATGAGAAGAGTCTTTTTCTTAGAAGGTAGACAGCTTCAGCTGTCCAATACCCACAGGAACTGCATGAGGAAACCTTTGTTACTGCCTTTCGATAAAATAGTCCCCTAAAGATATTACTTCCTATTTCCCAGTCTTTAGAGGAAGATTCCTTAGGTTGCAGTTTATCCAGTTGAAAGAATTATTAGTGGTAATTGCTGACTTAAGCAATCTTCCTTCTGCTGGGATACACATGCAGAACTGCAAATCACAGTATCACTTCCTAAAAAGCACTTAAAGAAATGAGACACGTGGAGCTGCCTCAGACATTTTCAAAGTCAGTATTAAATATAACTTGAAATGATGATGTTGACTGCAGGGAAACACATTTTCTTACCGGTTATGAAGTCTATGGGAAAACCGCAAATACTAGTCTTCCCAAGACAGTTATAAGAGATTAGATACTGTTAACACAAGTATTTAAGCAAAAAATTATTTTAATATATATGACATTTCAAGGTTTACTGTGCATATTATGTTTTGCTTCCCTTATGGCCTAAGGTAGTTAACAGAGTTTTGCTACAACTAAAAAAAAAAAGAAGAGGAAAAGGCAGTATCTATAAAATACTGTTCTAAGGAGCAGAGTGCGAAATGTTATTAAATAATTATAAATCTGTTATCAAGCTGAAACAAGTATGTCTGTCACTCTACACTTTCTAGGTACAAAGGCAATAAAATGAACATTTATTATAGAAGTATTTATTACATAACATGAATATAAAACCCCCACTATTCTGTTTAATTTTTTCTTTGCTTGATGATTATTTTAAAGAAAAGAAATTGAGAAAATCAAGGCTGAAATGGTAAATAGATTCCTAAAACTACATACGAGAGAGGTTTACAAGCCACAGAGTCCACCTAATGTCCTCACTGTGAAACAGAGCTATTTGACTAATTTTGAACAGGCCATTAGGTGTCACTAGGCATACAAAATGATGTCTCAGTCTTCAAAAACTAGGTTTGGTAGCTTAGTGTAGGTTCCAATTTTGTTCTTAATTTTTATGCAAGTAGATGGTTATGATCAATATACTGAAAATGTAGACCTGTGGCACTGTGCTTGGAACCTAGTCATTTTTGAAGAAAAATCCAGAAATGTTACTTGATGAAAGATCAGAGGCATTTTAAGAGGTCTGTGTCCTGGATGAAAAAATATCACAGTCAAACACTGTAGAAGGAGTAGAGCTATTTGGTTTATGAAAGAGAAAACATCCTTCATAGAGGCTAAAATGAGAGGTAAAAGTGCAGATTCAGCAAAGTTGAATAATATCCATACCCCTGTATCAATGTCTGGGCCCAGTACTGCACCGGTGCATTGCTGGTCTGGGTCGGCAGGACCTGCTGTAAGGGCACTGCTGTGATCAGTGTGGCTGCTGCAGCTCCCATGGGAAGCAATTCTGAAAAGAGCAGCATGGATGGTGTTACAAAGAAAGGAGGGAAGGGCAGCCATGAGGAGAGCAAACACCGCCTGCTGCTTCTGAGCTCTCCTCTGAAGTCCAGCAAGAGTTTAAAAACATGGATCCCAGCTCCCACGAAGTCTAGGTATTGTCCTAAAGTCCTTTTCATTCCCTGACAGCATCACTGAAGATGGTATGTCAATAAATTGCCATCTGTCCATTCACTACACTCTGTTTTCACTATGTGCAGTGTTCTGGATACACAGTGCTGGCAGGGGTCTGTGGAATAAAAACAGACATGCACATAAAGACAGCATTCAATATGCTCTGTGAATCAAGTGTGCCTTTCCTTCTCATGTCATTTGGGGAAGGGTTAGAGATGGCATATCTTCTCTGCCCGGTGGGGAATAGAATTGTTTGGGACCATTCCACATCCCTCTGCATATTTGACTTGCACGATAGGCCTACCTTCTCCTAAGCAAACCAAATCCAAGGTTGAAATCACAAGATTTGGCAGGCAGTATGCTGTAACAGAGTCCTCAGAGGAGATGCACTCAGAGAACCTCTTGGACTCCAGGGCAAAGCTGTCCTGGGACCCCAAATGGTATTTGACAAAACATAGCATGCTGAACAAAAACGGAAGCTACATGTATGTTGAGAAGGCTTTGACACAGAGCAGTGGTTCAGTTTTCTTCTGGCTAGTGAGATAAGATTTTTCAATCTGGAAAAGAGACAGCAGAGAGGGGATTGTCAAGGAACAGCAGGGGTGAGGCTGCTTGGCAAAGGAAGCAGACCCAGGGCAGCAGACGACAGAAAGGCCAGCAGGGCAGTGGCATCCCCCATAAGGTATTCAGTGCTCAAGTTCCCTATACTCTTGTTACAGTCCACTAATTCTTGAACAAGTCTGTAGTGATGAGGTAGGTCAAATATCAAGTCTAGAGGTTAAGTCCACACATCATGATCTGGCCCTAACCAGAACACTGTTATACTTCAAGAAATAGTGACCCACATAAAAATGGACCTGATCAGGCTGACCAATGTGTGCTGTTTTGTGCTAAGTTACGCTGTACATACTGCTTGGTGTCCTGGACTATACTGTGCTGAACACGTCATGTGGCTGCGAGCTAAACTTTAGCTGCTAATGGTAATGGAGAGGCTTGTAGATGGTCCCAAACTGGCACCTGGTGATGATGCTGCCAGCACATCCTTGACCTCATTGCAGTCTACAATGCAGGAAGAGAAGGGGCAGACACTGATCTCTTCTCTGTGGTGACCAGTGACAGGACCTGAGGGAATGACCTGAAGTTGTGTCAGGGGAGGTTTAAATTGGATATTAGGAAAAGGGTCTTCACCCAGAGGGGTGGTTGGGCACTGACCAGGCTCCCCAGGGAAGTGGTCACAGCACCAAGCCTGGGAGAGTTCAAGAAGCATTTAGATGATAGTCTCAGGCACACGGTGTGTCTCTTGGGAATGGTCCTGTGCAGGGCTGTGGGTTGGACTTGATGATCCCCCTGGGTCCCTTCAAACTCAGTATATTGTGTGATTCTGTGATTTTGTCATACTGTTATTCATCAGTAGAAATGATAAATGCTAAAGAGTTGTTTACTTCTAAGAACATACTTATAAAAGTGTAAAGATCACACAACCAGAGAACCTCTGCATGCATAGGATATGCAGTGTTCTATGCCCTGAATAAAGATTCATCCAGTGCTGCACTGCTTGGGGTTCCTAGCATTGGAAGGGAAATTATCTATGCCATCTCCTTTTTCCCTCCCATGTTATTTCCAGTAAAATGGCCTTTAATAATTTTCTTCCTTGTGTCCAAAATAAATACTTGCAGTAGTACATCATGGGGTACATTTTGGTGAGGTTCATGGCCAGGCACAGGCATGAAAGCTAGCAAGGACCATAATCAAGAGGCTCAGTTTAAATTCTTCTCTCAATTGAGGGGGATGTAGGCAACCTCATGGAGGCATCTCACAGCTCTATCACAAACAGTGCTCTGATCCAAAGCTTGGCAGTTGCTTTAGATGTGCCCAAGCCCAGGTAGTCAAACTCCTAGGAGAGGAATGATATTTTCAACAGCAGGTTTCTGAAGTCCTGAATTATATGAAGACAATGACAGAGATTGGCTATTCAGTATATCTTCTGACACATAATGGTATTAAAAAAAGTTAGTAGAAAACAGTTTAAAAAGCCGCAGAAGATAGAGGTAGATGAAAACAAACAGGTATTGGAATGATGGAACTCATGGCCAAGGAATGCTGGAGATGATAAAATTTTACATGACTTTAGAGAGAGACTGAACAAAACCATGGAAGAGAAATCCATTGAGAGGTAATAAATATATAGAAAATACTACCACTTATTTAAGTTCCAGGACTGAATGGCCAATGTCAGAGCTCTGACAGTGTGAGCAGCCCCAGCAGGAGATTTCCCCAATACCCTCTGCATATGGGTATGGAGCCTATATGGGCACTGGCATAATTTTGGTACTAGGCATGGTCTTTGTGAGAGGAGAACACAAACTGTCCTATGATGAATGAAAAGAACTCATTGTATGCTGAATTTTCAGTAGAGGAGCGTATGGCACCTCTGCTCAAGTCTATTTAAGAAAGGGTGGCAAGAGAAATGTGAGAAACATATTTAGAGAAACAAAACAAAAGACATGGAAGGAGATGTTATTAAGAGCTCAAATAAAGACACACTCTTTGGAGGCACCTCTGAAGGACTGCAGCCACAGGTAACCTATGTCAGGGTAATGACACCCCTGAAAGGCTGAAACAAGGACATTCCTGTGGAACTGCAGCCTGTGGAGCAGGCTATTTTACTCTTTTTTTTCACAGGATAAAAGTGAGCAGCAACAACTGGCAGATAGAAACAGTTATATACCAACCCCAATATCTTCCATTACCTGCTGCTACACCAAAGGGAGTGGGAAGCACTGAGAAGCTGAAACTAATTAGCACAGATTTTTTGTACTGAAGTTGAGTGTGGGGAAGCAGGTTGAAAGGTTTGTTTGTTTCATAGGTTGTTACATTGGTTTTGACCAATACCCACATCAAGAACAAAAAAATTTTTGTTCATCAGCGAGAAATTATATGAAACTTCTCAAGTCAAGGCTGTTGCCCACAAGAGAAGCCTATTTCAGCCTAGCCTTAGCACTTCAGTCCCTGCCCGAAGTGCACTGTAGACGACCATCTCTAGG